TTCGGGAATAGTGTTGAACCTAAATAAATGTTATTTGGTATTTTCATTGAGCATGAATATGATTGGATCATGTTTATTGCAATACAGTTATTCATTTAAGTCAGAGAATAATTGTTGTTCTTTTTACATGAATAAAACCTTCAATGGTCATACACCCAATGTGAATGGTTTGTTGAATCTCGATCGTTGTTATACACATATTCATAATATTGATGCCAAAAGATGCAAAGTTGATAATGATAGTGCAACATATTTGTGGTACTGCTATTTAGGTCATATTGGTGTAAAGCACATGAAGAAACTCCATGCGGATGGACTTTTGGAATTACTAATCATTTGATGCTTGTGAACCATGCCTCATGGGCAAGATGACTAAGACTCCATTCTCCGGAACAATGGAGAGAGCCACTGACTTATTGGAAATAATACATACCAATGTGCTCGCCATGGGTCAGGGGAGCGGCAGCAGCAGGGACCAGGACGCGCACCATTTCGCCCTTTGTGCTGGAGACCTCAAGCTCGCCTCCCCCTGTGCCCAAGCAAACTATCTCTTCCAGTGAAGTTGATTCCCTAGGCACCATCCGATGCACCTCCTCCTCTGTCACCTCCACACGAATCCTGGTGACGAGTTTCTAGATCGAGCCGCAATGAATTGGCCTCTGCATCGTCCGCGCCATGCGCACTCGATGCATCTCCTCGGCCATGGCTTCGTCCATGCAGATCTCCCTTCTCCCCTCCTGATCCATCTCTCTCCTGCATAGCGAGGCTTGTAGGGTGCGGCGCACTGGTACGAGGAGAGGCGTTTGGTGGTTGAGGGGCTAGCTGCGGGCAGGACGCCGACGGGGATCGCGGGAGTGCTAGGTGGAGGGGATAAGGCAAGTCGCCAGAGCACACATTTCAAACTCCTTTCCCTCCTCCACTAGTAGTACACTTAAGAATCCCGTGGCGCAACCTTTCTTCATTATGTTGTACTTTTCTATATGTACCTATATATATTGAACCAACATAACGTTTGCTTTTGTTTTTGCACATGTGGCTTGACACCACAAGAACATACCCATCGCATATGTGTTATAATGGTTTCAGCTTTTAGGTTGGCAGTTATCTGAGTTTTTGTATGTCCATTTGAGTGCTCATTCTCTCTCAACATTTTCTTCAGATGGCTAGCATTTTTCAGTAATGCGGTTTTTTGTGAGAATTTTGCGTAGGTAGGGAGGGGAAGGCGAGGGCTAGGCAGTTGATTTTTTGTTACTGTGATTGGGACCAGTGGCGGAGCTTGGGACAAAATCCTGGAGGGCCGATGAGCTTTTTTTGCGGGGTGAAAACATGCATTACTCAATCAAGAAGTCATTACAATCGAGAGAAACAATCTCCATCACCTCATCCGGACCAGCCCCTAGCCAGGTCATGGTCCTACCTTGCAATCTAGCAAACGAAGCTAATGCATCACTAGCCTTATTTTGGGTCCTAGCAATATGAATAATACAAGATTGTCGAAGAGACAATAGGTACTTAATTTCCTTCACGATTGAGGCGTAAATAGAGTGGTCGACGTCTTCACATGAAATCATGGTCACCGCCTCGAGAGAATCCATTTCCACCACTATAGGAAGATCGCTGCGTTGGAGTGCCAATGAGACCCCTTCCATGCATGCACAGAGCTCTGTCTCTAAGGCATCTCTACAGGAATACAGGACCCTGCATGCCGAGACATTAACATTCCCTCGATGGTCACGTAAGATCATTCCAGCCCCGGCATTACCAGCCATACTGAAGGACCCATCAATATTTAGCTTAATCCACCCCAGCTCCGGGGGCCTCCATCTTTTCTCCTCTGGTGCACTAATGACTCCTTCAGCTGGCACCCGTTTTTCATATACAATTGGAGATTTGCCTTTTGCTGGATCTGCTCATGGGTAAAGCTTAATTCCAATCAGGGAATCAACATAGCTTCGCAAGAAACGAATAGAGGCCTCCATAGATGGTGCAGGCTTGTAGTGCACCACTTCATTCCGGACAAACCAACTCCTCCAAAATATCATCAAAACCATCATTCGCCCCACATCATTCAACGACTCTAGAACATGAAGCAGCCACTCCTTTCCATTATGCTCTATAGATTCTATCTCCGGGATCATCCATACCTTAGCCATAGCGAGATACAAGTCTCGACCAAACTGGCAGTTGACGAAGGGGTGAAAGTTATCTTCTTCCTCCCTCCCACAAACTGGACACCTGCTCCCAACCTCGAGCCCGATTTTGTGTTTCCTCTGCCAAGTAGGGAGTGAGTTAGTAGCTAATCTCCAAGCAAAGTTGTGCACCGATGGCGGCGCCCAACTTTTCCAAATAAAGTCCCAACACTTCCGCTGATCGGAAGGTGACGAACTGGAGGATACATCTGTCGCCCGGTGTGCTTCCTCAAAGGCCAGAGTGTAGGCCGATTTAATAGTGAACACACCATGTTTACCTGGTCCCCATGCTATCACATCTTCCTCCAACCTCGGAGATGCTCTGATCTTCGCGATCTCTTGTACATCCGCATCGACAAAATATTCATTCAACAGCTCATAGTTCCAGGAACCGTTCTGATTTAACAGGTCCGAAACAAATCGAATACGACACCTTCCCTGTGGGGAGATCGGTTTATAAGAATAAGGCCTCGATATCCACTTATCCCTCCAAACACGTATGCTCCTGCCATTACCCACTCTCCATACTAGCCCCTTCTTCAATAGATCCAGGCCATAACTGATAGCTTGCCATGACGACGACGCGTTACCCGTGAAAACTGTATCATCTAACCTGCCCAGTGGGTAATACCTCGCTTTCAAGACTTGGGCGCACAAACTATCTGGTTTAGTTAGAAGTCTCCACGCCTGTCGCGCTAACAAAGCTTGATTGAACATCCGAAAGTCACGGAACCCCACTCCTCCCTTCGCCTTGGGTTGCATCAAATGATCCCATCCTCGCCAATGCACTCTTCTTTTGCCTTCCGCCGAGCCCCGGTAGAAATTTCTTACCATACGAGTAAGATCATCACACACTGAGAAAGGCACTTTGAAGACTCTCATTATGTATGTAGGCAGCGCCTGGGCTACGGACTTGATCAACACCTCACGTCTCGGTTGGGCCAACTGACCATCCCCCCACTGCAACAGTCGTTTTGTCAGCCTAGTTTGCAGGTTCTGGAAACGCCCTTTCGACATCCTCCCCTCCGGTGTTGGCAATCCCAAGTACTTATCCTCAAAAGAATGGCTAGTAACTTGTAACGCTGCTCTCACCTCATCCTGGACTACTGCAGGGCATGCATCCCCAAAGAGTAATGAGCACTTATCATAATTAAGGCTTTGTCCTGTAGCAGCACCATATGCATCCAAAATTGCTTTAACCTTCACTGCCTGGATTTTAGAAGCCTCAAAAAACAAAAGTGTATCATCTGCGAATAGCAAGTGTGATATACCCGGGGCACCTCTACACACTCTCACTGGAGTAATATCTCTTGAATCCACATTCTTCCTTAGTAGAGCTGAAAGTCCATCTGCCACAAACAAAAATAAGAATGGTGATAAGGGGTCTCCTTTCCGAAGCCCACGCGACGGCGCAAACGAATCCAAGAGAGTTCCATTGAAATTCACCGAGTATCTCACCGACGTGACACAAGCCATAATCCAGTCAACCCATCGCTGAGAGAAACCCAACTTTTGCATCACTTGCCTCAAGAAGACCCAATCAACCCTATCATAAGCCTTTGACAGATCCAACTTATACGCACAAAAGCTCTTTGTCAGATCCTTCTCCTGTTTGATGTGGTGGATGCACTCGAATGCCACAAGTGCATTATCCGTGATCAATCTTCCTGGAATAAAGGCGCTTTGTTCCGGAGAAATAAGATCGTCCAAGAGAGGTCTCAACCTATTACCCAAACACTTTGAGATAACCTTATATATAACGTTACAAAGGCTTATAGGTCTATAGTCCGAAATCTTGGTCGGGTTCGAGATTTTAGGTACGAGCACAATGGATGTAGAATTAACCCCCTCCGGCATAACTCCTGTGTGGAAAAAATCCTTCACCGCCGGCAATACCCCCTCCTTGAGCGTGCTCCAATTGCGCTGGAAGAACCTGGCCGGGAGGCCATCCGGTCCCGGCGCCTTGAGCGGGCCAATTTGAAACAATGCATCTAATATCTCCTTTTCAGAAAAAGCCTTGCACAACTTGATGTTATCTGCAGCCAACACCCTTGATTCCAACAAGTCCAAAACCGGTGAAGCATCAAGGGATGTGTCAGCCGAAAAAATATTATGAAAATACTCATTAACTAACAGCTCCATGGTAGCAAGATCAGAGTGCACAACACCAATACTATCAGCAACCGGTATAAAGCCGACGCGTTAGGGACACGCCGGCACAAAATAATTTTTTTGAAGGTCTAAGAAGGGAGCCGGAACTCGGCCTGAATCAACAATTAAAAGAGTCATATTTTTTGCAGGCTGAGCCCGGAGTGAGTGTCAAGACTGGACTGGGGAAAAAGAAACGACCTAGATCAAATCAAAAAATAGAAAAAACTAGAAACTCCCTTGAAATATGGCCGGGCTAAGCTGTAATTTTTTTTCCTTTTCTTCATTTTTCGGCTTTCTGTTCTTTTTCTTACGATAGATATCGCTGTTCCTTCTCCAAGGCACGTATTATCTCTACCTGTGAATCTTTCGGATGCTGTTTTTCAACCAATAAGTAGGCTCCTTCCTTCCCGACTCTGCTCAAACATAAAAGAAACGAAACATGAACTTCAGACTTTCAGATATCCAGAAGACCAGAACACTACCATCCATACAGCTCTCCCAGCGGCGAGTTCACTGCAATCACGCATACAACAGACACAGTACAAGTTGCGGCAACATAATGTTTCAGTCTTACAACACGCAGACTCTCCCAGCACTAGGTTTTTGCAATGCCAACTAGAACTAAACTGGGTAAAGGAGACAGACACGGCGCTCCTCTTCCTAGTCGGTTTCGTCTATCCAATCACCATAGATCCTGCTTATCTTGTCGGGGCCTTTCCATTTCTGGATTGGCCTCTGTAGCTGCCCGGACCTTTGGCTGGCCAAGGCGGAACGCTGTGTCTGGCTGCCTAAATGGTAAACGTCTGCATGAGGGGGCACCGCAGTGGATGCAGCAGGAGTCTCCACAGGAAGTTTCGAAGATGCCGCAGCCTGCTTCGAGTCCGGAGTTGATGCAATGTCCCTCCCGTCAATGTCGACAAGTCCCCCACCATACTTGTGGAGTTCTGCAATTACAACCAAAATATATGTCAGTAATGTAAACTAGATCAGGTACATTATGTACATTAAGGCCCTGTTTGGTAGCAAAGTACTTTCTAAGCTTATGAGAATACTACAGTTTTTGAGATTACCAGTTATACTTACAATGGGTTGGTTGGTTGCCTCGTTTTGATACTACAGTATTCGCCAAACCATAGTTTTTTCTCTGTATTATATAAAAAAACCCAGACCTCTTTTTTAAGAACTGAGCAGCAGAAAAGAACGGCGTCACACGTCATTATCCTCCCAACTATTCTCAACAAGTTGCCATGTGCAGGGCCACTCTTAGGCTGATCAGTTGCTTAATGCAACGGCCAGCTCTGCTAGAAAGACGTGCGTGTTTGCTAGCTAACGGCTAGCCAGCTTTTACAACATCGCAGCGCAGAACAGGTTCTCAGGATTGTGAATACTAAAATACTCTGTTATGTCAAGACCACAGTATTTTTTATACCTATAGGATATATTTCTAAAATACTCTAAAGTAGTGATCTAAACGCTCTTATATTTCTTTACGGAGGGAGTGGTTTTTATATACTTTCGTTTTTGCATTTGTACTGTAGTTTTTGCAATGCTTTACTATCAAACATAGCCTAAGGCTCCACACCAAACAGGGCTTCAATAAACAGCGGTTTATCTGATGATTCCAAAAGAAGTATGAACCCAAGAAATAGACATGTACATAGCAGCACAAAGTAATTAGGTGTCTATTGGTAACCATCTAAGAAAATTCAAGCCATTAAGCATGAATCATGCACCAGGCATGTGTGCGACAGAAAAATGGCATATGTGGTGCCGGTACTTCATAATTTCATTTATCTTGCAAATGCTCATGCATAAAATAGAAAAAATTTGTGCAAGATAAGACCTGCAATGGAGATATCAATTGTCTATAGGTAAGCAGACAAAAACAACTAGCATCAGGGCAAGTGTGGCATCAGCCCATATGGCAATTATGTAAAACCCAATAGACCAATACCAAACCTGACTACACCTAGAATGACTTATTCTGAACCCGGAACTTAGAAGATCCACACCCAACATGGAAACCATAAAATATGTCACAATAACACGCGGTCATCTCCAAACCCATATAAGCTAATCAGTAATCAGTGAGTTTGATGATCAGATTTTACTAGGAGCTAGCTTCATAAAGAAAACAATATCTGGTTATGTCAAATCTGGTTTACTTCTGATATCTTCCTTGATCCATGTGTTTCTAATCCTACAATTACAAAGCAAGTAGTTTCATAACACAAATTGTTGTCACTTACAAACATGTATGTTAGCACCACTGAAAATATTATGTACATTACTCTATAAGACTTCATAAACCAACTCCAGAGCAAGGTTCAAGATATCAGGGAATTTTTCCTATATGCTGGCGATGCTACTGCCTGTAACCAACTTCTGTATAAAGCAAGTGACACAATTGAGAGCAATTGTAAGGATGAACCCAGTTGGATCATTCACCTATTTACCAGTGGACTGGATCTCAACTATTATTGTGCACAGCTAGACTGCTAAGCATCACATAGGTTGGAAACTAATTAAACTTGATATGGACCAAGGGCTGACCATGCAAATTTTTGTGAATGTTATGTCACACTCGTGAGTACCAAGATGTAGGTTCTGAACGATCTTAAAGACCCATAGAGAACTCATAAACCTGGCCTGATTTGTTCTAGTAGTCCAGTAGCTGTGTTGGAAAGTAGATACTTCCAATCATAGAGTTTCAGGTAAGCTGCTGAACACAGTTGAAATCAGGCCTATGATGTGTTGTCGTAATTATAAAGAAATAATTATCTGAGTGTAGGCAAAAGTGTCAGGATAGGTTTAAAATACAACATATGATGCATTGTGGTCAATTATAAAGAAGCGTCACTTATCTGAATGTACGCAAAAGCAAGCATCAGAATTGACTAGAAAACTGTATTGCAGGTTCTGTTTCAACTATAATGTGGGTTACAGTCTCATGGAATAAATGGACATGAGTAAGGACAGACCCAGTGCTGGAAGGTTTGGGGAACGATTATACGAGGCAAGCCTTACCCCTGCACAGTACAATGCAGAGAGGCTGCATCGGACCCAGGACCTCTTGGCACAATTGGGGAGTACTTCACCGCTGCACCAAGCCTATCCTCCATCAAATGGACATGAGTAACTTACTAACTTTATAAAATATTATGGCCTCATTATTTATATGAAATGTGAAGAGATTTCATGCAGAGACAAGGAAAAAAATATATGCAACCGTATGGTAATAACAATTGAATAGGCTGTCTGCAAAATTTGGGGATTAAAGTCGATTATGAAAAGAAAAAGAGGCGCTCACCAGCAGCTCCATGAGCAAAGTGGCACTTGCTACCGAAGGGGCAGTAGCCAGTCATCTCCCACTTGTTACAAATCCTCGTCTTCCAATTCGACGGCTTCAGAATTGTCGGTCCATTTGGAGAGGCGGCAGCAGCAGCAGCAGAGTTGTAGCTGCCCCCGCCAACCGACGGCGATAGGCTAATCGCGACGCTCTCACGCGCCTTGGACTGCTCATCATGCAAGAAAGTGCATGCGTCGCCATAGGGGCATCCCTCCTCGGTGTAGAACTTCTTGCAGTGCCGCCCCTTGTACGCCCTGCCAGACACGCTGTCACCAGGCACCACGTTGGACGACGTCATGATCGGGATCTGGTGCTCCTCTCTCTGTTCCGTCGCCTCCTCGTGTGCTGCCACGATCTCCTGCCAGTTGGGGGGCGGCTTGCGCAGCTCCTCCATCCCATGAGCGAAGTTGCAGTTTGTCACATACGGGCACGTCCCTGCCCGGAACTTGCAGCAGAGCTTCGTCTTGAAGAACATCTTCCCAATCGCGCGCGACTTGCTCGTGCTCCCGGCGTCGCCGCCGCCCGACGGCCCACTGCCCCTGGGCTTCTTGCCCGGCGGCGGCTGCTCGCCGCCGGCCCTTGAATGCGGCTGCGACGAGTTCCTGTCACCGCCATAGCAACCCCCGCTAAGCCCCTGGTCGCCGTTCCACTGGCTGTAGTCGTCCTCGGTGGCCCAAATCCCAGAGTCCCCGCCAGGAGGCGCCGCAGAGTTGGCCCAGCTTTCGGGACCGGCGGCGTCCGGGATGATATGGATGGCGTTGGTGTAGTCCATGGCCACTCTGTCAGATCCCGATGATGGAGCGCCCTCGCTCAGTTGGGGAATTTGGTTACAACCCTAGCTCGAGAACCCTAGTTGCACGTATGGGAAACAATATATCTATTTTATAGGACATTAAAACTTAACCGAGCATTTCTGGCCATACATCTGCGTGATTTAGCAGATCTCAGCTGTTAACGCTGCTCTCTGTGCGTCCACTACCGCACGTCTTTTTCTGGGCTAAATGTTCTAAGGGCTACTCCAGAGGTGAGCCCTCTGGTTACGCGGGCCTATTCTCTCAACCCAATTATCCTACTGCTCTTTCCTACGAGGTACACGAAAAAGGATGTTGGTTGCTAGCAGAAAATAACAGGGCCGTTCGCTTCGAGAGAAACAACAAGGGGGCATGTCGCTGCCTGGAGAAAGGGGAAGGTGATCCGTCTACACACGGGAGGCCGACACGAACGCCTCTACGGGAGACGAGGGAATGGGTCGATCGGTTTGGGAGGGAGGGAGAGAGAGAGAGAGAGAGAGAGAGAGAAGGGGGGAGAGGGAGAGAGAGAGAGGAGGGGAACCAGTCGATAGGGGATGCAAATCCACACCATGGTTGTTCTCTTAGCGAAACTAACTCGTTGAGATTGAAGGATACAATCATTTTTCAGTTGTTATGCACAAAATCATGGCGGTGGATGTGCCCATCCTTTCTGCTGCTTTGGGGTAAGTGCATGTATATATTCTTCCTCCCATACCACTCTTCACTCGCCTCTTCACTTCGGCACTACAACACCCTTTGCCATGATACTTGGCTAGGTTTCTCTTTATTTCTTTCTAGTTCATATATTATTCCTCCTTCCAGCCATGCAATTACATTGTCATGACATTCTCTCAACTAAAAAATTGTGCATACAGGAGATGTTCATGTTGGGTGTGGTCAATTGATTTGGGCAGATCTTGGTGCTATGTATTGGCATTTTCTTCACTTCTGCAGTTCATAATCCATTTGCTTCTAGACAGGTAATTACTCCACACCTTATCCTTCCATGTGTTTATCATGCATGTTTTTACGCCACATGATTGATTAGAGTATATGCTTATATGTTACTCACATCATGATACTACTTGCTATTATATGGAGCAGGTTATTTAGAACACTGTATTAGAATGTGCAAAAATCATAAACATGTTGTCATAGAGGTAGGCGAAGACTTAGCATCTTTTGTTTTTATCCTTAAACGAGCAAAGCTAAATGATTATGTGGATAATTTCTTTGCTAAGTATCGAGTGCAACTTGGTAGAGACTAGGTTATTGATGGCAAGCATTGATGTGCCCGTCTAATTTGGCCTTATAATTTAGGATATGAAGTATATAATTGTTTGCAATGCTTTAAAATGGTATAGTGCTTTCTTGCAGCTTGTGCTTCCCTCTTTCTTTTACAAAATCATGGCAGGTGTGACGCCCGGATAGTTACGCTACAGTAATCATTCGCTAATGATGCCACGTCACCTTGATTACTGTGGCTAATCTCGCATTAGTTCGAAAACGATTCAAATTCAAACTTGAATTTTTGGCAAACAAACAAAGTTTTCAAACTTTAAAACAAAAATGTTCGGACCGTGTCAAATATTGCATAGATAATTATGGTGAAGTAAACACATTTTTAAAAAATGCATAAATATTTTAAATTGAGTAAAACAAAAAGGAAAATAAATAAAAAGAAACAAAACCAAAACAAAACA